AGCAACTGACGGGAGAAAGGGTTTATTTCAGCTTACTGTTCCAGAGGGAGAGTCCATAACGGTGGGGAAGGCCTGGCCTGGCTGCAGGAACAGGAATCTGGATGATCACATTTTTGCATACACACAGGAAGTATACACATACACACACACACACACACACACACACACACACACACACACACAGAGACAGAGAGACACAGAGAGAGATATGCAGAAAAAGAGAGAGACAGACAGAGACAGAGAGACATGCAGAAAGAGAGAGACAGAGACAGACAGACAGAGACAGACAGACAGAGACAGAGAGACACACAGAGAGACACAGAGAGAGACATGCAGAAAGAGAGAGACAGAGAGAGAGGGGGTGGGTGGGTGGGTGGTTATAAATCCTCACAGCCAGCCCCCAGTGATGTGCTTCCTCTAGCAAGGATGTACCTCCTAAAAGTTCCATAACCTCCCCAAACAGTGCCACCAACTGGGGACCACATGTCCAAATATATGAGCCTCTGGGGGACATTTATTATCTAAACCACCACATCCAGCCCCTTGACTCCCATAGGCCCAGGACCATTTCATGATGCAAAATGAGTTTAGTATAACACCAAAAGTCTTCAATAATTTCAACACAGTTCCAAAGTCCAAACTCTCTTAACTGTGACCCCCTGTAAAATTAAAGCCATCACATACTTCCAACACTGAGTGGCACAGAATCTAAATTTCTACTCTAAACAAACCCCAAACCCAGCAGGTAAATAATCAAATCCTACAGCTCCATGTCCAGTAGCTGGGGCTTCCGTTTTAAATGGTTTAGACGGCTCCACCCCTCCAGCTTTGCTGTTTGTAATCCACATCCCCTTCTATCTGGTTTCACTTCCCATTTGTAGCTCTCCTTGGCAAATGTCTTAAGATTCTGGTGTGTCCAGCATCCTGGGATTTCCACATCACTCCAGGTTCCATGGTTGCTTGACCTAATGACCTCCTCATAGGGACTCTGTTAACTTTCTGTTGCTGTGGTAAAACACCATGCCCCCAAATCAACTGGCTTACAGTTCCAGGGGAAGAGACCCTACGGTGTCCGGGAAGGCATGGCGTGGTGGCAGAAGAAGATGCTGCCTGCTCACCTTTTATCAACAGACAGGAAGCAAAGCAACATGGAGGAGGATGCTGATGCTGCAAACCCACCCAGCTCCAGTGACATACCTCATATCTGCAGCACCTAAGGATTTCATAACCTCCCCAAACAGGAGTAGGAATGTATGAAGCTCCTGTAGGCAGAGACAGACCCTGGGACAGGTGCCAGAGACCAGGAAGGAAAGAAGGCGCATCTTAGCAGGAAACAGAACTTGATTTCCCAGATCTCTGGGGAAGTCCTCATGTATCCCCTTGTCCCCAGGTAGTGTAGCTTATTGGGGAAGGTAAGCCCAGAGCTAGAGGAAGAAGCCTGACATGGACTCCAGTGATGGATCGTGTAAGAAGCACACTCAGTGGTCATCCGGAAGCTCTCGGGGTTCCCAAACCCCTGTCCATCCCACTCTCCGATCTCCCTGTCCCATGCCTTTGACATGTCCTCCTCAAACACTTGGGTCAGGCATCAAGGGAGGATGTGAAGGCTGAGAGGGCAGAATGCGGACTGAGAGCCAGCACCATCAGCACTTGGGCAGAGTAGAGCAGAGGCTGGTGAAAGGCCAAGGCCGGGAATCGGACACACTGGCTCCTTTTATGGGGCTGTGACCAGATATTACCGACGAGAGTAGAAGAGATTTATTCTCATAGTCTCCGAGGTGTCACTCTGTCACGGTGGGAAGGGCATGAGAAAACAGAGCAGTCCACACCACAGCAGCCAGGAAGCAAAGAAAAGGGAATACAGGAAGGGTCCAGGGGAAGCCAGAGCCTCCAAAGACCGCCCGCCCCTCCAGTAGCCTGTTTCCTCTAAGCAGGCCCACCGCCTACCTTTCAACACCTCCCAGTGAGGCATTTGTATTAGGAATCCATCAAGGGACTAATGTATTCACTAGGTCAGACCCATCAGGATGGATCTAAACATCACGAAACATGACACCGGACATGTGCTTTATAATGTCCTCAGTGGTTTTTGAATCCAGTCAAGTTGACCATTAAGATTAACTGTCGCATTGGGACATCTCTGAGGTGTAGATAGGCGGAGTCTGTCTGTCCTCTATAACACTTTGTCATCCTAATTCCCAGCACCTCAGCCACCCCTATGAGATGACTCCACGTGTCAGAATTAGCAGGGTGGCAGAGCTTCCATAAGAGTACGGGTGGCATTTCCTGTTCCGATTTTGTCCCTCAGCCGACTCTTTGTAGGGACAGCCTGACTCTAGATGGAAGCTGAAGAAATGAAGATTGTTCTGGCCCCAGTTTACAGTGTCAGACATTCCTTGGAGGCTGGCTCAGGAATCAAAAGCGCCTAAGGGAGAATGAGACAGGAAGTTCTGTGGAGACATTGATACCTAGGAGCAGAGCCACTTAAACATTCCCAGCAATGTCCCCAACTCCAGAGGCATCCTCAAGGCCTTCCTCTGCTGCACACACAGGGGGTTGAGCTTGGTGCAGCTGCCAAGGCATAAATACAATAGTTCTTTGAATTCTCCATTTCTCCTTGAATATTCATGCACGTTTTCCAATTGATTCCATGGTACTTTCAGGCCAGTTTTAGAATGTGAATGATCTGAGAAATCGGTCCAGTTGCTGAGAACATATGGTGGTTAAATCTTTCTACTCTGGTGTCTCATTTGTAAAACAGGAATAAAAACATTGGCTTGTTATGGTTTGAATGGTGAAATGCTCCCCACGGGCTCGTGTACCGGGTGCTCGTGGCCCAGCCCATGGTGCTATTTTGGTAGGTGGTAGAAACTTTGGAAAGCAGAGTCTACCTGAAGGAGGTAGGTTACTGAGGCTGTAACCTTGAAGACCCTTTAGCAGGTCTCAGGTCCCTTTCCTTGTCTCTGCTTTCTGGCCACCAAGATGTGAACTGCTCTGTGTTCCACCATGTCTGCCCTGCCACAATAAACTGACACCTTTGAAACTGTGAGCCCAAAGAAATCTCCTCTTAAGTTTTTTATGTCAAGTCAAACCAAAACGCCACCCAATAAGCTGTCCTGGTGGCTGAATTGGTAATGCCTGTTGAATGCCTAGAACAGATCCTGGTGTGTCCCAGTTTTGTTTAATTGCTGTGAAGAGACACCAGGAGCAAGGCAACTCTTAGAAAAGAAAGCATTTAATTGGGGGCTGGCTTACAGTTTCAGATGGTTAGTGTGTTACCATCATGGTGGTGAGTGTGGCAGTGGCAGGCAGGGGTGGTACTGGAGCAGTAGCTGAGAGCTTTACATCCTGATCTGCAAGCAGCAGGCAGAGAGACTGGGCAAAGCGGGGATTTTGAAACCTCAAAGCCCACTCCCAGTGACACACTTCCTCCAACATGGCCACACCTCCTCACCCTTCCCAAAACATTTCTCAACTGGGGACGAAGGGCTCAGATATATGATCCTATGGTGGCCATTCTCATTCATACTACCACATGGTGTGTCAGAGATGTTGTGAAATGTTAACAGGGCGAGTCCTCTGTTGATCCACTGACACAGAGGTGCACACCATGGAGCCTTCTCATCTGCAATGTCTTTTGTTTTTTTTTAAATTTATCACCTGTCACCCTATAATCAACACACATAGCACTTTCAAAGTCTTCTGAAGACCAGTGAAAATTTTGAGTCCACTGGTATGCATATTCACTGCCAAGGTCCTACAAGCCAATGCTCTTTCTTCTTGTGTGTGTCAGCTCCTACTGTGTAGACAGTTACCCTGAACGTCCTCTTTGCGACATTTTGTTGTTTGTGGTTTCATTGTTTTAAGCTGCCCTTGAGCACAGTGCTGTTTATGTGTCCCCTGAAGGGCTGCTCTCTGGTTGTTCACACCCACATCACAGGGGAGTTACAGGTGCTGGTACCCTGAGGTCAATGTAAATGAATGAACATGTGTTACGCAAGGTGTCTTTACACGGAAATATATACAAAACAAGGCAGTGTTCCAACTGGCTGACAAAATGTGACCAGAGGCTCATGGGAACCTAATCCTGTATTACCCACCACGGTAATAGCCCAGTATTCATAAATGGATTGTTTGCCTCACTTTCCAGAGCTAAACTGGGGTGATCGGAGAGACTCCGTTGTCTGCAGGTGAGTTAGTCCTGGTTTAGCTCTGCCCTCCTTTCTTGGTTCCCCCTGAATCTCTTCCCACTCGCCACCTGCTCATCTTCCCCAGGACCCCAGCCATTTTCCCCCTCGGAGTGGAGGGAGAGTCCTGAGGCTCTTCTGGTCAGAGGAGGGCACTGACTGGGGAAGGGAAGAAAAGGTGAGGAAGGCAGGTAGGGGGAACTCTTGGTAATGCTGTAACAGTCTGCAAGTACCAGCAGTCTGGCAGGCAAGAGAGCACCTTTTGCTGCAAATGTTTCAGACTCCTCCTGAGAGAAGTAGGTACCAGTTCCAGACCTGGCCTCTCTGATCACCGTGGGCAAGTTATTCCCCGAGGTTTGGGATAATGCTAGGAACTACTGCTCTTGGGATGGCTGGCTACACACACATCGCTTGGCAAAGTAGCATCACTCCAGGGAACTAAGGGAGGCACACAGCGCTGCAGACTTTAAAAGGAACACCTGGCCCTTGGCTCCCTTTGCTGGGATGAAGCCAAGACCCTTGTATCTTTTCCCTGACTTTTTGTCCCTGCAGAAGTGATGAAGGCACCCTCACCCCTGCCTCTATTCTCGACTGGGACACCTCCATCACAAACCCTAGGCTCTGGTGCTGAATTTATTTTCTGACAGGTCTGGAGTTCGGGATCACCCAAACCGGTTTCATACCCGGGACTTCAGGTATCAGGTTTAGGTGTCTCTACTGGGTCACCCACGGTCCCCTGCAGCCAAAAATCCCTGGACCGCGGGGGCTGCTGATGGGTCTTGGTCAAGTTCCTAAGGCTCCCAGCACGAGCCAGTGACTCCGGGCAGCCTGTTCACGGGGTGCGTTTTAGCAGACGCGGCGCCCGGGCCAGGCGATGGAGGTGGGAGGGGATGGCATCCTTGCACTGGCCGGGCTGGCCCGGCTGGCCCGTGGCGCAGCCGCTGCCTCTCCCCAGCGCGCTGCCGGCGGCGGCGGCGGCAGCCGGGGCTCCTGGCACCAGGCCTGGCTGCAGGCCCAGGGCGAGGAGTGGCTTCCAGGAAGCGGGTGGAGAAGCGTTCCAGCCGAGTCTCGCCGTGGCCGCCGCGGCTCCGCGCGCTCCGAGTCGCCCGGCTGCGGCCCGCTTTCCTGCTTGCCCTCGCCTTCCCCGCGGCCCGGGGTTCCAGCGGAGGACGAAGAGGCGGCACGGACGGACCGGCCCCGGGGCGCGGCGCGCACTTGCGGGACAGACGGCGCAGGTGGCGGCGCGCGCCCTCCGCCTCTGGGCCGGGGCCAGCCCTGCGCTCCGCGCGCCCGGAGGGGCGGGACAGGCGGGGCGGCCGCGTCCCAGCCCCATTTAACTTTGGCGGCGGCGCGGGCTGGAGGCCGGCGTCGGGGACCGTCGGGATCCCGCGCTCCGCACGAGGTGTCGCCGAGTTGGCGCGGCTGGTCTCCGTCTCCGCAGAGCGCATCCCTGCGACACCCACAGACGCTGCTGCGGCGCCGCCGGGTTGGGAGCGGGGACACCCGCGGGAGATCCGGGGACAGGTCTCTCCCAGGATGGTAAGGCTGGGCAAGTTGGTGGGAACGCCACTGGCAAGGAGGGTCCGACGCTGGTCGCGGGGGCTTCACAACCTGAGCACTACCCTATGGGACTTAGAGAGCTCTGGGTAGGCGCACGCCACCGGGGCCGGGAACGTTGGGCAGAACCTTCCCGGGTCCTCTGCGAGCAAAGGGCGCCTTCGATGACGGGGACACCCTACAGGGTGAGCGGACTGCCGGTTGATCGCAGCCTGGAGTGTCCGAAGGTCCGGAGGGTTGGCTACTGAGGCTCGCACGCCTGGAGTGTAGAGGACCCGGGCGAGACGCACGCCAGGGAAAGGAGGCGTGAGGGCAGCGGGCGTTGGAGTGTGCGAGCCAGCGGAGAGGGGCGCGTGGTCCCGGGCCCCGGCCCTGGCCGCCTCCCTTCGTCCCAGAGTTGCCGCCTCAGGTCGGAAACAGCAGCACATTTGCGGATCGCATTAAGCCAGGCCTTAATGCTTTCTCCAGATGGAGAGAAGCCACCGACCCGCCCCCGGACACCGACTCCGCCAAGGCGCCCGCGAGGCGAAGCGGGAGTCGAGTGTGACCTCGGCTTTTCCAGTCTCCTCTCAAACTCAGTTCCCTGTAAATTGACAGGAAAACACACTGGGAGAGAAAAAAAAAAGGTCCCCGTCGCCCTCTTGGGCGACGTTCTTCCTCACCTTTAAGAGACTACACTCTGAAAGACTGTGCCCCCCAGAGCTCTCTTAGCCGCAGGTCTGGAAGCAGAGGGCACTCGGTGTGTCTAGTGAGAAATGCCTCAAACTATCTGCTTTCCAATCCTAGAGTCACTGTTTTGCTGTGTGACCTTAGGAGGATTCCTACCCTCTCTGGTCTAGTTTAGTTGGTTTTAGACTCATTTTTGCCTCGAGGAGACTAAGCTGGCAGGTGCCCTAACCCTTGGCTGTAGGCTGGCGTCCCCAGACAATGCCAAAATCCACACCCTGGTGCTGACAACCAGGCTGGGTGGTGGCTGGTGCAGGGGTGTCTCGACTTCTGGAGAGCTGGAAGTATGAGTTGCTGACGGGGGGGGGGTAGTCCCTGCCCCCTTCCCAGTCTTGGTGGACTCATCTTAAAGGGAGCCCCATATCGCCTCCATTCTGCAGCAGGCAATCCCATCCTGGGCCAACACAAACCTTTCTGAGACACTGCCTGGCTTCAGGGTCCCTGCCCTCCGATTGGTTTCTTAGCTCACAGACTCGGTCTCTGGAGCCAGAGCTGGTTGGAAACTGGGCCTTTTCTTTTTTCTTTTTTGTAGGCTGTAAGGGAGGCTCCTAGGATATTGGACCCCATGGCTTGCTGGACAGGACCCTGGTGGCTGCTGACATGGATGGTCTTTATGTTCCCTGGTCTTCTGCAGGTAATAGAATGGGGGACACTGAGAACTTGGGGGCATGCCTGTCTTTGCATAGCAATATTGTTCTAGACCATGTAAGAAGTTAATAGGACCAGTGTTAATGCTAACACAGAGAATCTCATGCAGATGGTGTCGTGGTTGGTTTCTCTGTAAGGATGATTCAAAGGCCAGGAACTTGGTACCACTGTGGACCCGTATGCCACTTGTGACTTGGAGCTTGGGTGGACCCTGTCTTTTCTGACTACAGTGGCTGTCTGCACGAGCCCAGGAGAGGCTGCGTGTGAGAGGTCAGGAGGAGCCTGATTTCTACACTAGCTTAGCCACTGAGTGAGTGTTCTGAATTTACTCTGTTAGCACACCCCACTATTGAGCAGGCCTCTCTAGACCACCGGTTCTCAACCTTCCTAATGCTGCGACCCTTTAATACAGTTCCTCGCGTGGTGGTGACCCATGCTACTTCATAACTGTAATTTTGCTGCTGTTATGTATTGTAATGTTAAAAATATCTGTGTTTTCCGATGGTCTTTGTCGACCCCTGTGAAAAGGTCATTCCACCCCGAAGGGTCGAGACCCACAGGTTGAGAAACACGGGTCTAGACGCTTGTCTTTTTCACCCAGCCTGAGAAGCTGAGCTCGTAGACTGATCTGTCTACTGGGCAAACTCAAAGGCGCGCTGCTGGCATTGCTGAAGAGACAGCGGGAGTGGTAGAGATGGCGAGAGGCGGAACCCAGTTTCTCCTCACTAAGAACAGTCCTTGCTTGACTCCGGCTTGTCATTGTTAAGTAGGAATGCAAGCCCAGGATTGCTGGGCCTTCTTACGTTTCAAGATAGCTGGAACATCCAGATTTCCTCTACAACCCTTTGGTTTATAACAAAGCGAAATCCAGACAAATATGTTTGCCGCTGCATTCAGCCAAGAAGTGTGTGGGCCCTGACCTAAAAATGCAGGGAACATTTCTGTTAATACCGTGGCCTGAGGGTGGCTGCTAATCCCGTGCAGCGTCTTATGTGACTTAGAACAAGACAACACTTCCCCGAGGAGTTCATTTCTGGCTGTGGTCTGTGCGCCCTCATGGTCTTAGCAGACAGCCTAGTACTTAAGGGCTTAAGTCTGTTAAACAAGCATGCAGGCATGGATGAAAATCTATACTCGGGATAACTGAAGCAAAGGCCCCTGCCTCTTGCTCTGTTCTCGTGGATTTACTGTCTTTAAGCCCTTTTCAGTGCCCCGTCAATTCTGTGGCTCACACACAACTGATTAGTGAGGAACATCATTCCCTTTGTCCCGTTTTACAGCGCTCCTCTGTAACCACATTTTAAATGGATAGATTTTGTTAGAACAAAGGCTAAGAGGATGGAGAGAAGCTCAGTGGTCAAGATTTCTGCTGCCCTTGCAGGGAACTGAGTTCAGTTCCCAGAATCTGGGGTAACTTGCAGCTCCTGAGGATATGATGCCCTCTTCTGGTGTCCATGGGCAACTGCAGTCGTGCACACACAGACACACACACGCACACCAGATACAGGAATACATATAATTTAAAAAGAAATAAATCTTAAAAAAACAAAAGTTATGGTTTTGAGGGGCATGGTTTAGGCTTCCTCTGGGCAGCATGGTACAGTGTTGTTGTAAAAGCAAGATGGTTTACTTTTCCATCTCACCAAAATAGAATACAAGAGCTTCGGAGATATTCCTTCCTGGTCAGGTGGGGCTGAGCCTCTAAGACAGAGTGTTTCCTTTCGCCTTTCCCCCTCTCCACCGTCTCTGTGCGCTTTGAGTCTGTCCGCTGCCTTCTGTTCCAACTTGAATCGCGAGTGACCTCTGGATTTTCCCGTATCTGGGTGCCCATGGCAGTGCTGTGCCCATGCATCAGTGTAGTGCGCATGGAATGCCATAACATCCAATGCCTGGGCAGTGGTTTCAGTCATCCGTGCCACCCACTGCTGGAATCCCAGCACCACCCCTGTGTGTATGGCTGGGTCACTCATCTGTGCATCACACCTGTCTCCTCACTTGAAGAGAGGGACCCACGACCGTGCCCACCTCGCGGAGTTGTTTTCAGGAGGCAATGCACCGTGAAGTGGAAAATGTGGAATAAAGCAAGGATATCGGCAATGAAGGTCAACTCTGTGGTAGCTGCTGGTTAAAGGCTTGAAATTAGCATTGTGCCTGCATATTCTGCTATGGAGCTGTAGGGGGCGCTCAAGAGACATGAGCAGAGGAGCCCAGATGCACACTGTTCTGGGCAGAGGCTGATCTTCTCAAAGGAGGTTCTTGTAGAAGTGGACAGGGTTTTCTCTGGTGTTTCCCCCAGGCTCATTGGAGCTTGGTAAGAAGTTGCCCATCTGTATTATGATTTTAATGTTGGGATGTCTCGCTCCCCTTGCCTCATGAGTAGGCTACAAGGTGGTTGGTGGGAGACTAACAGATGTGTGAGGCTGAGCTGTAAGGGTGTTTCAGCTATCTAGTGTATTTCAGCTAATTAATAAAAATGAGATTCTCCTTATTAAATCATGGAAAATGTGAACTCTTATAATTACAAGTTACTGTGATAGGTACAGGGCTTGACTGGGGGAAGCTGAAGGCTCCTCCCACTCAAGCAGTAGAAAGGCCGCTGCTCCTGCCGATTAGGCCCTGGGAGCTGCTGTGCTTTGGGTCTTCCCTGAGGACCTGATCTTCTTACTGAAGACAACAGTTGCTCTCGAACCCCTCCAAGCTTCTACTGTTTTGATCACTATACTATTGAAGGAAACACTGGGTCAAAAGTATAGACACCCCTGAGAAGTGTGGTAGGCTGAACAATGTCTCCCAAATATGTCCATGGCCTAGTTCCTAGAACCCATCAATGTTCCGTATATGACAAAAGAGACTTTGCCATGCAGGGAAAGATGTTGAGATTGGGAGGTTGTCCCAGCACTTTTCGTGAGTGCGACCCAGGAAGAAGCAAAGCAGAGGAAGTGGAAGAGGCCACCAAGGAAGCTGGAGGGGTGATGCAGCCAGGAGCTGAGGGCGGCTGGAAACCTCTAGAAGATGGGAGAGGCAGAGAATGGCTTCTCCCATGGAGTTTTCGGAAGTGTAACTGGCCCTGGGGAAACCCGGAGTTTAGTTCACAAAAACTCATTTCAGGTTATACTAGAACTATGAACACATGAATGTATATGTTTTGTTTTGTTTTTGTTCTCTCTCTCCCCTCTCTCAGTAGGTGCTGTGTGTGTGTGTGTGTGTGTGTGTGTGTGTGTGTGTGTGTGTGTGTCCAGAGGTTGACATCAGGTGTCTTCTTTAATTACTCTACATCTTATTTTCCGAGATAGGGTTTCCCACTGTGTCTGGAGTTTGCTGGTTGACTAGCCTGGCTGGCCAGGGATCCTCCTGTCCCCAGGATTGGGATTATTAACTGCTGTACTGCCATGGCCAGCCTTCTTCATGGGTGCTGAGGCTCTGAAGGCAGGTCCTCATTGCTGGCAAGAAAGTGCTTTATTCACCAGCCATCTATTCATATTCATTCTCTCCTCTCTCTCTCTCTCTCTCTCTCTCTCTCTCTCTCTCTCTCTCTCTCTCTCTCTCTCTCTCTCTCCTTGGTTCATTGTCAACCAGACATTGTCCCCAGGGGTACTCTAAATGCCTTTTCCGTTGTCCTTGCTCTGTACCCACTTGGTCATGAAATACCTCTCAAATCTGTCTCCTCCACTGGGTTTCCATGGACACCATGCATGTGAAGAGTAGAAACATGGCAGGAAAGGCCAAGAGGTAAAAATGAGCAGGGGCAGTTTGTGACTGCTGTGAAGAAGGGCCGGAAGAGCACTCTAGGAACTAGGCAGCACAGAGTCTTTGGAATATGGATCAGGTGCTGGGAAGCACTATCAGGACTCTGTGGGGTGCTGGGACTCACTGGAGCAGATGATGCTTGGGAGGTTCCTGGCACTGTGGTAGTGATGCGTCCTGGCCTGGGTTGCAGAGGTGAGAAGCTAATTTTCAATAAGATGAGATGAAGGCAGGAACCCTTAAGAACTCGCTGAGATGGGGACAAACATGGTAAAGGAGTAAGTGGAATTGAGAAAAATAGAAAAATGGAATTAGGCTTAGAGGAAAAACTTGAAAGTTCACCTTGACCCTGGGAAATGTCTGGTTTACTTTGAAGGACAAGGTTTGAGGGGCTGATGGAGACTGGAGAAGGCTGAGCTGCTGAAAACAGGGTATTGCAGTCTTTGGCAGGAAATGGAATGACAAGGAAGTTTTCTCCACAAATGGCACTTCAGTGTATCTGAACTCCACGTGGGATGTCTCTGAAAGAAAGCAAGACAGTGCAGATACAAGGAGAAGAAGAAAACTACAATCCCATGTAATTGTTTCATAACAGGAGCAAGTCAAGCAGTCAGTGTTCCTCCACTGTCACTAACGGGCTGAAAGCGCACGCCTAGCAGCATGGAGGCTTCAGTTCAGGGTTTACGGTCGTGATCATTCTTGGTTTATTTTTACAAAGATGCTAATTTCCATAAATAGCATGGAAGCATAAAGCAATTTCCTCTCCAAGTATTTTATGCAATTACTTCCTGGAATTTGTCAGTGCCGTGTTCAGCTCCAGCCAATGTATGCTATAAATTATTGTGGCCAAATTCGCAGAAACCCATCTGTTCTCCAAGTATTCATTTAGACACTTAATAGAATTTTCCTTTGAAAGTACTTTTAAAATCAGGAAGACTAGCTATTGTATTAATAAAAGTAATTTACAATTTAGTGAAGTCCTCTCTTTTGAACTTACCTCTGTGTGTGTGTGAGTGTGTGTGAATGTGTGAGTGTGTGAGTGAGTGAGTGTGTGCGTGGTGTGTGTGTGTGTGTGTGTGTGTGTGTGTGTGTGTGTGTGTGTGTGTTTCTGAGTTAAAAGCAACAGCAGCACAACTCAGTATGGAATATTAGCATGTATGTTTATTTAAAGAAGTGATAATGGACTGGAGAGATAGCTTAGTTGGCAAATGTTTTGCAATACACATCAAGCATGAGGGGCCT